ACCAAATCTTCTTCTAACTTCTAACTTTTTCTTTGAATTCATTACGTAATCACTTTGTTTTCAGAGTAATAATATAGAAAATGTGGTCAGATACTGCTGTTAGATAGTAAATACACTTTATCAGCATTATCAGGGCTGAAAAAAGATTTTTTTCAGTCTTGATTATGCTGTAGAACTGCAAAAGCTCGATTTCATATAAATTGTATTTACAATCTACCATCTAACAGCATGCAGTATCTGGCCACATTTGCTATATTATTACTATCCTACTAACATGCTTCTAATAATAATAATAATAATAATAATAATAATAATATATTTAACGAGGAAGCCTTATCACCTTCTGAAGGATTACTTTTCAAGATTAACTTTGTTTTCATTTTTTCCATAGTTGGCATACGCCTCTGTATCGCAGCACCTCACTGGCTTCGTGTACCGTAACATGTATCGTATGGTACCTAGTACTTATTCATTTAACCTAGCTAAAATTGCTTTCTTAAAGAAGTTCAAATGGAAAAGAGTCGCTATTATCCATGGCTACGATGACAAAGTGTTTTCACCTGTAAGTTGACGGTCTTCATTCTATCATTGTACTTTCTTTTCCCAACACTCTCTCAGCCCTACTAATAGTACTTGGTCTCCTGTTTCGTATACTCTGGAACTGGTATCGCGTTTTAAGCGATTTTACTCTGGAACAGGGTATCGTTTTCAGCGATTTTACTCTAGAATCTAGAACTGGACATCGTTTTCAGCGATTTCACTCTGGAACAGGGTCAGGGTTTTGACGTCCCAGCGGCACATCCCCCCCCAAATTTGGGGGATTATCCCCCCCGGGTCTCATTACTATTAATTACGTATTAATTTATTATTATTACAGACTGTAAGACATCTCCAGACCCTTTTAGACAAGAACAACATCTCTACCATAGCCGTTGAAGGTTTCCAAGAGTTCCTCGACGATGTCGATCTCAGATTTCAGATTGCAAAGTTTAAGGTACATTTATGTTCTTGAGAATCAAATAAACATTGAATGTGTGCAATACTTACTATTTACTTAATAGTGCAGACTATTATGACCCATGTCAAGCGCCTCATTGCTTTATTCTTGTATGGAATGTAAATTCTARAAAGAATTGTATGTCATTCGTGCGGGTTCCCTGTGCTTTTTAGTTTTGGGCTTCCTTTAGCGAATCYATGCCATATATGGAAACAAACAAATTGGCCGATTGTTCAGAAGTATTTTCTTTATAATATCTGCAAGTTTCAGACGATTTCAAGCTTTAAAAGTTGAGAAAATCRACAAAAAACATTCMTATCGTACTWMCAAATAAGGTAATATTACCATATATGGCTGCTAAACCRARGACAACTTTTGYGGGGCAATTCTTTGATAGTCAGTAGTTCTTACCAAACTTTGTCGTTATTTAGTCTCTCGATGCTCGTATCATCATTGGAGAATTCTCCGACCAGGGAGCAAAACACGTCTTTTGCGAGGTACGTCATGGGTGATTTATTGAATGAATCGAGGTAGAGGGGTGGAAAACATGGGATTCTTAACCCGACGTGAATACGGTGGTGGAGACTAAGGGTGA